GGGAAACGCATGGTACTATTTTACCTCGGGAATCAAACACGAACGCTGTGTTTTTGAAGTAATAAAATTGGGTCATGCTTCCTACGCAATCACAAATACAGTCCATCTATTACGAATTTAATTATTTGCTGTATCATTAATGAATAAAGTCGAGATTATCATATTTTAAGTGTTGATTACAATATAATTCCCTAGAGTGATCGGCACCTGTATGTCAATAATAGATGTTGGAATGGTTCATGCGGTAATGAATGAAACATCAAAGCGATAGCTTCCTGACCATGCCTGTCAACAGTGGTAATCACGTGACATTCTCCTGCCATTTCTAGAACTATAGTTAAAAACCAGTGGCTGCCAGGCAGGATACGCCCACATTTTGCAAAAGATGGATAGAGAACAAGCTAAAAACAAACCTGACTTTTTGTACAATCGGAGGCAATAATCCAGAATGTTATGGCCTGAAATGTGCAAAGATCAAAAGGGACAGAAATCTTTGGGATATAAAGATATGTTTTAAGTTTCATCAAAATCGGATAAAAATTGTGACCTCTAGAGATTCCACAACCATCGTATTACACACTTCTACACAATTTGCGTACAAAGAGCGGCCACTTTGTCGGGCAGTTTCATTTTGATTTTCCCGAAATATGAATTCAACCTTCATTATGGTGGAATGGTGATGTATTTAAAATGATTTTTAAAATCGGAAAAAAATTGTGACCTCTAGAGAATCTGCAAGCTAAAAATGCGATTTTTTTAACAATCAGGGCCATAATCCAGGAAGTTAAGTTCAGATATCCGCGATTATCAAAAGCAACCAAGATCTTAATGTGTAATGGTGATATATTCACACGTTTTTTTTAAATCAGATAAAAATTGTGACCTCTACAGGGACAACAAGCTAAAAACCTGATTTTTTGTTCAATCAAGGGCCATAATTCAGGAAGTTACGATCCGATATGCGCGAATATCGAAAGGAATCAATATCTTTGGGTTATAAACATTATTTCAAGTTTCATCGAAATCAGATCAAAATTGTGACCGCTAGAGGGTCCACAACATTGATTTACCAGATGTTTACACTATTTGCATACGAGGGGCGGCCATATTGTCCGGCAGTTTTGGTCTCATTCTCATGAAATAACGGTGATATATTCAAACGTTTTTTTTAAATCGGATAATAATTGTGACCTCTAGAGGTACCACAAGCTAAAAACGCGATTTTGCCTACAATCAGAGGCCATAATTCAAGAAGTTACGATCCAATATTCGGGAATATTGCAAGAGACCGAGATCTCTGGGTTATAAACATGCATTTCAAGTTTCATCAAAATCTGATGAAAATTGTGACCTCTAGAGCGTCCACAACCCTGATACACAATATTGTGACACTATTATATTCGAACGAGGGCCGGCCATTTTGTCCGTCAGTTTCAGTCTGATTTTTACGAAATTCAAACTCAATCATGCTTAGGGTGTAACGGTGATATATTCAAACGTTTTTTTAAATCGGATAAAAATTGTGACCTCACGGGACATCAAAGGGATATACCCCCTTTCATCTTTCATTCCAATCACGCATAAACCATGTGATATTTTCCTGCCTTTTCCAAAACTTCTACTCATTATGATAGTGTCCAGATAATACCAGCAGTGAACTAGATAATACCAGCAGTGAACTAGATAATACCAGCAGTGAAAACAGATCAAAGAGGGATCCCCGCGATGTACTGATTGTGTTCTCCAATTCTATGATTTTTATCATCATGCAATTGGCTTATTCCCTATTCCAATCAAAAGGTTTATAGGGTGGACTGTTGTACGTTAATGTCTGTCTGCACATTTGAAGACCGGTAAGGATTTTGTACTGTTTATTCTGTCCTTTTTACAGCCCCTATAAGAGTCTTGTATTACCGGTATGTCTAAATAGCAACGCAAAATAATGATTTGTTCACAACTCAGATAATACTTTAAAGGTAATTACCGAGTCTTTTGAACAGATATCAGCAACTCAAGTATCTGCAAAATGGCCGTGTATTGGTCGATACCGATTTCTCCCGATAGGCCACTTATCGGCCAATTACCGATGTTCAAACAGATTATCGGACCATCACTAAATCTTATATGTTACGCCAGGTAAAAATTTCGAAATTTCAGTCAGAAGTAATATAATGACCAGATGGCTTGATATCATACAGGTTAAAAATGGTTATTAAGTTTATAGATATGGCAGAAATAATAACTTATTTCTTCCACTTGACTATACATGACGTGTATGGTAGATCCACGATAAGAAGGTGTGTATTCAGATGTGTGTCCTTGATATACACCATATACAAACACACACATACACACACAGGGGCGACTACAATATACGTCCACATTATGAATGTTGCATGACCCGTTTTTATTTCCAAAAATAAAAACAGTCACATCAGTTACTGCAAGTAAATGTTTCAAACCTGGTTACAGGAAGTAGCTCTATAATTTTTTTTTTATGAATACTGTAATCATACATTGCTACAAACAACATGATGAAATAAATGTAGTGCCTTGAAATGTGATATTTATGATAAGTCATTTAGCCCAGTATGGCAGTATAGATCCTTTAACAAAACAAAATTAGGTGGCTACCAGGCAGGATACGCCCACATTTTCAAGAGATGGATAGAGAACAAGCTAACAAGAAAGTGATTTTTCCTACAATCAAGGGCCATAATTCAGGAAATTACAATTCGATATGCGCATATATCGAAAGGAACTGAGATCTTTGTGTTATAAACTTACATTTCAAGTTTCAACAAAATCGGATAAAAATTGTGACCTCTATAGGGTCCACAACCTTGATATACCATATTTTTATGCTATTTGAGAACGAACGGCGGCCATTTTGTCTGTCAATTTTGGGGCGATTTTCACAAAATTCAAACTCAACTGTCCTTAGGGTGGAACGGTAATATAATAATACGGTTTTTTAAATCGGATAAAAATTATGACCTCTAATGGGTCCACAAGCTAAAAACATGATTTTTCGTACAATCAGGGACCATAATTCAGGAAGTTACGGTCCGATATGGGCAAATATTGAAAGGAACCGAGATCTTTGGGTTATAAACTTATATTTCAAGTTTCAACAAAATCGGATAACCAGCGGCTGCCAGGCAGAATACGCCCACATTTTCGAGAGATGGATAGAGAACAAGCTAAAAAGAAAGTGATTTTTCCTACAATCAACGGCCATAATTCAGGAAATTACAATTCGATATGCGCAAATATTGAAAGGAACTGAAATCTTTGGGTTATAAACTTACATTTCAAGTTTCAACAAAATCGGATAAAAATTGTGACCTCTATAGGGTCCACAACCTTGATATACCATATTTTTAAGCTATTTGAGAAAGAGGGGCGGCCATTTTGTCTGTCAGTTTTGGGCCGTTTTTCACAAAATTCGAACTCAGTCGTCCTTATGGTGTAACGGTGATATAATAATACGTTTTTTTAAATCGGATAAAAATTATGACCTCTTTAGGGTCCACAAGCTAAAAACGCGATTTTTCGTATAATCAGGGGCCATAATTCAGGAAATTATGGTCCGATATGCGCGAATATCGAAAGGAACCGAGATCTTTGGGTTATAGACTTACATTTTAAGTTTCAACAAAATCGGATAAAAATTGTGACCTCTATAGGGTCCACAACCTTGATATACCATTTTCTTACGCTATTTGAGAACGAACGGCGGCCATTTTGTCTGTCAATTTTGGGCCGATTTTCACGAAATTCGATCAGTTGTCCCTAGGGTGTAACGGTGATATAATAATACGTTTTTTTAAATCGGGTAAAAATTATGACTTCTATAGGGTCCACAAGCTAAAAACGTGATTTTTTGTACAATCTGGGGCCATAATTCAGGAAGTTACAATCCAATATGCGCGAATATCGAAAGGAACCAAGATCTTTGGGTTATAAACTTACATTTCAAGTTTCAACAAAATCGGATAAAAATTGTGACCCCTATAGGGTCCACAACCTTGATATACCATATTCTTACGCTATTTGGGAACGAATGGCGGCCATTTTGTCTGTCAATTTTGGGCCGATTTTCACGAAATTCGAACTCAGTCATCCTTAGGGTGTAACGGTGATATACTAAAATGTTTTTTTAAATCGGATAAAAATTATGACCTCTATAGAGTCCACAAGCTAAAAACGTGATTTTTCATACAATCAGGGGCCATAATTCAGGAAGTTACGATCCGATATGTTTGGGTTATAAACTTACATTTCAAGTTTCAGCAAAATCGGATAAAAATTGTGACCTCTATAGGGTCCACAAGCTAAAAACGTGAAATTGTGACCTCTAGAGGGCCCACAACATTCATATACCTTATTTTTACGCTATTTGAGTACAAGGGGCAGCCATTTTGTCTGTCAGTTATGGTCCGATTTTACGAAATTTGTACTCAACCACTCTTAGGGTGTAACGATGATATACTAAAATGTTTTTTTAAATCGGATAAAAATTATGACCTCTATAGAGTCCACAAGCTAAAAACGTGATTTTTCATACAATCAGGGGCCATAATTCAGGAAGTTACGATCCGATATGTTTGGGTTATAAACTTACATTTCAAGTTTCAGCAAAATCGGATAAAAATTGTGACCTCTATAGGGTCCACAAGCTAAAAACGTGATTTTTCGTACAATCAAGGGCCATAATCCATGAAGTTTCGGTCCGATACATGCCAATATCGAAAGTAACCAAGTTCTTTTGGAGATAAACCTATATTTTTCAAGTTTCGTCAAAATCAGATAAGAATTTTGACCTATAGAGTGTCCACAAACAATTGTCTGGACGGACAGGGTCGAAAGCAATATACGTCCGCATGAAAATGTGGGCGTATAAAAACCTCCCACCCATATTAGATTTTTGGTAAGGATTGTCTGAGAACCCAAATTTTTCTTTTTTTTGTAAGGCCTTAGTTATTATATATACTTACCCTGGAAATGAATTGTGATGATTATTTTGATTATGTGCTATATTTTGATTAGATAATGATGGTGGACAGTAATCTCTATCATGTTGCCATGGATGTTGTCTTGATCTAGGTAACTAATAAACAAAATAAATATAGAAAACTTATTATTAATGTCCTTTATGGGGTTATTCTCAAATCATGTAATTGACTTCCCTTTAGATTTGATTTAAAATGCAACAAGAAATAATATTTGCAGGGGCTGAATTGAAAATGAATCCAGATTCCAGGTCAATATGATTTCAAGTAGAAATTAAACTATTTCAATTATTTTTAATGAATTTATATTTTAAATATGTCACTGCACTGAATGCAGTATTACAGTGTACCACAAGCGGCTGTCATGACAGCTAAGCCAAATTAAAGCAACTGTAGAAGCAACTATTAGAATCTGTAAGGAGAGTGAATTGAATCAAGTGAAGGGCTATCATATCACAAATAATTGACATCTTATGGGGGTATATATATATAAAATAAATAAAAGATTATACTCTTATGGGGGTATATATATATATAAATAAATAAAAGATTCTACTCTCAGGTAAACGTATATAGAAATATTAGGTTTTTAGAAAGAAAAAAATAATTTCATCTTAGCTAGCGCTTTCACCCACTACGGGGATCATCAGGCATTAAATCCCCGTAGTGGGTGAAAGCGCTAGCTAAGATGAAATTAGTTTTTTCTTTCTAAAAACTTTATGTCCAAAAGAAAGTATACACACTAAAAATATGATTAAAATTTGTTTAAATTAAAAGGTTTGATAAAACATTACTGAGTTTGTAATTACGTCCAAACATTTCAAAGCAGGTCTATTGCAGGTCTTACTTTAGGCCTGAAATGTTATCTAAATTATTAATTAGACATTAATTAACCTATCCAGACCATAATCAACTCTAGATGGCATCGCTAGCCTGCGATCTTTAACGATTTAACGATTAAATGGATAATCGAGACTATGCTGTTTATCGTACTGACTTTAGTAATGATGATTGAGGCTAGGCGGAAATTTCAATCGCTTCGTTCTCAGTTCATAATGGATTAATTTGAATGAAATTTTCAGCAAATTGCCTTTACATTATCTAGTTTTTAACTATTATAGTGAGAACTGCCAACTTGTTATCAAATCTCCCATTATGTATCTTTAACTACTTAATCTGCCTTGATTGACGGACTTAATCCTTTGTCGGACAGTTCATCAATCTTAAACAGAAGTCATTGCTTCTCCTTTGTCGGACTATTCATCAATCCAATAAGAGTGATTATCATTTTAATCTACATGTTTACCTCGTGGTTTCTCCATTGTCGGACATTTTAATCACATTGATGTGAGCCGACAATATGTATAAACTAATCATAGATGTCACATATTGTAAGAGTATATAACACCCCAAATCAATATATTATCTGTTAACTTGTAAATTAATATATCCGTTAATTTGTCTGCGATATCACTTCGGTGGAAGCGGACGTTAAATAAAGCTATTTTACACAAATACCCACAAGTGGTTAAAATACAATAATCAAAAACTGAAATAGAAATCTCGCGAGACGCGAAAATTTACAAGAGATGTAAACGTGACAATTATCACGTTAACTTGTAAATCAATATATCCGTTAATTTGTCTGCGATATCTATGGAGCCGAATCGTTGCCATATTAAGAGAAAATATAGTAGTTAAAATTGACAAATTATCATAGTCAAAATGTTAAAAATGGTCATTTTCGAGATTTTTCACTTTTAAATATCACATAACACAAAATCACTATATTAGTATCAAAACAAACCAAAAAGATCTAGTTATGTTATTTCACTTTCTACTTTTCACCTTTGCAAATTCATTCTAACTTTTTCATCTTTGCATTTTTCAACTATCAGAATTTCTCCATTGTAATTTCCACCACTAAAATTTCTCCAATCGAACGGACAGAGGGTGTGGTTCCGGGTACAGCCGAAGTTGACGTCATAAGACATCAGTATTTATTGTCTCAGCTAAAATTACTACTCCATTGGGTTATTCTTAAGAAATGTCCGATTTTATTATTTTTTTTATTTTTTTTGGGGAGAAATGAAATAAATTCATTGTCATGTCGAACCACTTTTTGTTTAATGAGTTACATCATCGAACCTTGAGGTTGGCTCCATTGTCTTAATAGAGCGGATGAATCTTTGACAGCACATCGACATGGATGTGAGCAAATTTCTGGCGTTATATCTGAAAAAAGGTGAAACTACAAAAGAGGTGAATGGCTGACTTAATCAATTTAAAAAAAAGCTTTACAGTTCTTAGACGATGTAATAAATTGCAAACAAGATAAATAGGGCATGGTAGAGAGTATCATCTTTCGCCAGGAAGAGTTAATCCGCCAAAGTTTTTTATTCCACAAGAACAGTTACAATATTTAGTTAATAAAGATCTGTAATGTGGGAGTTAAATAATGCAAAACTAGAAACAAAAGTTATATTAATTAAAATACAACTAGAAACAAAAGTTGTATTAATTAAAATACAACTAGAAACAAAAGTTGTATTAATTAAAATACAAGGCAGGCCTAATTAGGCCTATATGTAACTCTCCGACAAGACTCAAGAGTTAAAAAAAAAAAACCTATATTATTGACGGTCAGGTGGTAACATGTTAGTAATAGTTATTTAATTTTAATCATTAGCATTTTATACTTTTGCAAAGCGGAATTTTTTTTTTAAAACAAATATTCGGTCACCAGTATGTAGGCCTAATAAGTTTTATGTGGTCTTCAATAAAAATACAAATGTGACGGCATCTTTTGATGTTGGCGTACAAGTACTACTTCAAATAAAGTACACCTTTATGGAACCTACAATTAAACAATTACCTACAAATAACATATTACGTTAAATATTGTTTTATATAATTAATTAATCACCAGGTGTTTTTATAAGTCAAAATCCAGTAGGCCTACGCCGGATCCATTCACTTGATTTGACATGCTTATTGTTTGAAATATATGTGTAGCCTATTTTTACCATTTTGACTATGATAATTTTGCAATTTTAACCATGATATTTTCTCTTAATATGGTAACAATTCGGCTCCATGGATATCACTTCAGTAGAAGCGGACGTTAAATAAAGCTATTTTACACACGCACACACGTGTGGTTATAATACAATAATCAACCAGCGGCTGCCAGGCAGGATACGCCCACATTTTCGAGAGATGGATAGAGAACAAGCTAAAAAGAAAGTGATTTTTCCTACAATCAAGGGCCATAATTCAGGAAATTACAATTCGATATACGCAAATATCGAAAGGAACTGAGATCTTTGTGTTTTAAACTTACATTTCAAGTTTCAACAAAATCGGATAAAAATTGTGACCTCTATAGGGTCCACAACCTTGATATACCATATTTTTTACACTATTTGAGAACAACAGCGGCCATTTTGTCTGTCAATTTTGGGCCGATTTACACGAAATTCAAACTCAGCCATCCTGAGGGTGTACCGGTGATATAATAATACAACTTTTTAAATCGGATAAAAATTATCACCTCTATAGGGTCCACAAGCTAAAAACACGATTTTTCGTACAATCAGGGGCCATAATTCAGGAAGTTACATTCCGATATGTACGAATATCAAAAGGAACCGAGATCTTTGGTTTATAAACTTACATTTCAAGTTTCAACAAAATCGGATAAAAATTGTGACCTCTATAGGGTCCACAACCTTGATATACCATATTTTTACGCTATTTGAGGACGAAGGGCAGCCATTTTGTCTATCAGTTTTGGGTTGATTTTCACGAAATTTGAACTCAGCCGTCCTTAGGGTGTAACAGTGATATAATAATATGTTTTTTTTAAATCGGATAAAAATTATGACCTCTATAGGGTCCACAAGCTAAAAACGTGATTGTTCGTACAATCAGGGGCCATAATTCAGGAAGTTACGATCCGATATGCGCAAATATCGAAAGGAACCAAGATCTTTTGAACACAACCTTGATATACCATATTTTTACACTATTTGCGTACACAGGGCAGCCATTTTGTTCGGCAGTTTTAGTTTGATTTTCACGAAATTCAAACTCATCCATCATTAGGGTGTAACGGTTATATACTAAAACGTTTTCTTAAATTGGATAAAAATTATGACCTCTACAGGAACCACAAGCTAAAAACGCGATTTTTCGTACATAGGGGTCTTTAGCAGTGGGAGGAAACCGGACAACCCGGAGAAAACCCACGAGGTTGGACAGGCGACCCTATTCCTTGTCACCTACAACTGGGGATTCGAAACCACGCTAGTCGACTCAATGACAGACTTTATGATACAGCGCGCGCACGCTAACCATTCAGCCATCCAACCCCCCTCATCAAAATCGGATCAAAGTTGTGACCTCTAGAGTGTCCACAAGCTAAAAACATGATTTTTTGTACAATCAAGGGCCATAATCCATGAAGTTATGGTCCGATACATGCCAATATCGAGAACTTTGGGAGACAGACCTATATTTCAAGTTTCGTTAAAACCGGATAAAAATTGTGACCTGTAGAGTGTCCACAAACAAACTGTGGACGGACAGATGTCCGGACAGGGGTGACGACAATATACGTCCACATGAAAATGTGGTCGTATACAAAAGGGAAACAAATTAACATTGCACTTAAATACTGCATGCAATAGAAAAACGACTTGGGTTGATGCAGCGCAAAATGCACAGTGTATACTTTCTTATGGACATTAGTTTATTTATGAATAGTCCCAAAGTGAAGAAAAGTATTTTACCAGCGGCTGCCAGGCAGGATACGCCCACATTTTTGAGAGATGGATAGAGAAAGTGATTTTTCGTACAATCAGGGGCCATAATTCAGGAAGTTACAGTCCAATATGCGCGAATATCGAAAGAAACCACGATCTTTGGGTTATAAACTTACATTTCAAGTTTCATCAAAATAGGAATAAAATTTTGACCTCTATAGGGTCCACAACCTTGATATACCATATTTTTACGCTATTTGAGAACGAAGGATGGCCATTTTGTCGGACAGTTTTGGACCGATTCTCACAAAATTCGAACTCAACCGTCCTTA